GCGGATAAAATATTTAGATCATACCTTTAGATGATAGAACCTTGTGGGTAAATCACGTGCTTCCAGAATCTGATAAACCAACCCAGCAGTGAAGTGATATTACAAAATGAATATCACCCACACAAATCACAGTGCAAATGACTTGATCGTTATTTTTGGGAGAGAGTCAGTATATGGGTAAAACTCAGATCATACGTTGTTTCTCTCTTAATCACCCATAACCCATATACCAGATATATAATGTGTTATTATTATCTATCCATATCAGTTAATGGAGATAATATCTGTATCCTGAGTGGTTATCCTAAATAGGTTTGAATTCAATTTCAAAACCTATTTGGATAAGGTTCAAATTCAAATTCAAATGGTCATGTCACATGGGCGCCCATTACTAACAAGTTCTTACCTAAACACTCAAATACACCCAAATCCATTGATCTCGCTGCCCTAGTGCTTTGGAGTAAAATGTAGAGCTCGTAAAGGTGAACATTTTAATCGGTGAAACTTCCTTTTTTAACTCCATCAAGAGTTGGGTCTTGCTTTCTTTTTTTTCTACTCTTGAGGTAAGAACTTCTTCAACCTCTTTGTATGATTCTTAGCTTTGTTATGTGCTCCTTGTAAAGTATTGTGATTTTGAGAGCTGGGGGTTTGACTTAGGGTTTGGTTTTTGAAATGTAAAAGAGAGGTTTTCAAATCGATTCTTGAAAAAGGTTGTGGGAATGAGTATATTGTTGAGTTGTGTTGAAATATTAGATATTTCTCCTAAAAATGGGTTTTTGAAGTAAAATATGTTTTATTGGAAATCATTAGTGTTTGACCTAGGAATGAGGAAAGATGTTGGGTTTTGAAAAGATAAAATAAATGTATCAGTTGATGATGACAGTGTTGTTAGATATGTATTATCACTTCCATTTTGAAAATTTATGAAATTATAATTGTTGTTGTAGATTTATCTTTTGTATAGAGATATTTGTTTTGGGTTATCAGTAGAGGATAACTTTGATTATTGTAGAAATTGCATGAAGAATAGGTTAAATGAAAAGCATTTACTTATATATTTTGTATTGGATCTAGTCAGGGTTGTGGTTGTGGTTGTGGTTTTATTATGTTAGCCTGTGTGTTCTCAGTAAAAGTCTAAAAACCCGCGCCGTTAGGTGCTGATCATTCTGGTTAGTACTGGTAAAATGGCTTTGGTAGTGCTTGTATAGCTTACTGGCCGACATGTACCTAGAGATTCCTAATGTTTTGTATCCACTGCCCTATTTTCTGGTTTAAAAAGTATTGATTTATGAATTGACATATATCTATGGCATCTCATTATTTTGAAAAAGAAAATGTAATGTTTTGGTAAATGGTGTGCATATGCGTTCACCATATGACTTTGTTAAAGTTCATACATTGCGTTCAAGTATCTTTATTAAGCTTTAGCTCTGCTTATGTCGAAAACCAACCTTCAGGTGCTAATGATATACCTCCACTAAAGAGCTTTGGAGGATTGTGAAGCTAAAGGCTCATTTTTGTTTTTTTTTATTGTAATTATCTTTTGTACAAGACTCATGCTTTTTAAATGATTTGGGACTTGATCCACTTTGTTGTAACTAAGGATTGTCTTCGAAATATGTAGTCATTAGGGCATAAACTTATTTGTACTCTACTTTGTTCCAATTTATTCATACATGTCATATGCTATAGATTTAGGATTTAGGATTTATGAATTTATACATGCATATATCATCTTTTGTATGGAAAAATAATATCAGTGAAAGGTTATTGTTATGTGAGTTTTTGCTTTTTCATTGAATATCATGAGGTCGGTTGTTATTATTATTTTGGAGCGTTACACGTTTCCCATACTGAAATGATACACATTTTAAGTAACATAATACCCGTGCTATGCGCGGGCACAAGTAAATAATCAAAAATTAAATAATAACAAAAAATTAAAGGCTCCAAGACATTGCTTCTTTGAGGCTCAAAGCTATTGCCTCTAATAGCTATAATATAAGCAAAAATATATTTGTGTATGAAAACATTAAAGGCACAAATTTCCGTTGAAACATTGTGAGGCTTTTGTTGATGAAAACGTTTTTCTTAAAACGTAATATTAAAAAAAATGAATTATGATTTTGCTTATATTATGTTAGCCTCAAAGGCGTAAATGTCTATTATATGAATATTTAGGTATATTTTTGTAAGAAAACCATATGCTCTAGCGGAACATATAAAATATGTTCTAGCTCTAACTTCGGAACTTATCTAAAAAATTTATCAGTTAATTAGTGGAAGCATTTCATAATAATAAATTTAAACTTTATATTTAAATTATATCATAATTTGTTATTCTGTATTAAACATAAAAAGTAGTCTAGAAACTGAGTTTAAATTTTTATGCTAATTCTTGGATCAAGTCCTATCTTTGGAGAATTATCTTAGCTTATGTCTAATCAATGAGTTATTTGACTCATTTGTTTATTTAATTATTAAATTGTTGAATATATTTTGAATGATAAATGCCCAATAAATAATTTGCCGCCTAAATTTTTTAAATGCCACATGTATTTCCTTATTTTTGAAAAAATAATTTTTTAATTATATCTTTAAACAAATATTTTGAAAATTTTGAAATTATACAAGATTAGAGCATCTCCAATGGCAAGCTAGGACCAGGGGGAACAACAACGAGGATGACCGGCGGCAAAGAAAAGAGGAGAAAAGATCAAGATAATTGTTGGGTTGGTAGTCTTAGTGAGAGAAATGAGGATGAGAAAGAAGAAGAAGAACAAGATTCGGACTCTGTTGCTAGTCGGAGATGGCGGGGAGATGGTTGCACCGTGGGTGAAGAGAGGCTTGCGGTGGTGCCTTCTTTCTTCTTCTCCTCTCTCTCTTTCTCTCTGCTTCTTTCTTCTTCCCCTCTTTCTCTTCTCTGATTTCTGATTCTGTGTTTTTTTTTTTTTTTTTAAATTTTTTTTTTTTTTTTTTTTTTTTTTGAAATTTTGCCCCAAAACGACGTCGTTTTGGGCCACCGCAGGAATAGCTGCAAGGAATGACAGCAGAGGATCCAGACTCCAACAATACAATAATAATAATAATAATAAATACTATTTTCCAAATTTTTAGAGATGGAGATATAAGCAAAACCCCCCAAACAGAAAATATATATATATATATAAGTAAAAAAAAAACAACAACAATCACTAAAAAGACTATAATCATAACCACAGTAATCAAATAATTTCAAAGAAATTTCAAGCAATTTCTCATAAATTTCAAGCAAATTTCAAGCAATTTTAGAAATGTAATTTCACAAAAATAAATACTTGGAAAGGGGTTTGAAGTTTCTTTATCTTTTTCACTCAATTTCGTCCTCTTTACCTTCTTTATAATGTGATTTTGTTAAAATTTTGCGATAAATTAGATGAACTTGGATGATGAAGTTTCGAACAAACTTTGATGGATCGAACGAACTTCTACCTCCTTTTGGCCTTTGATGGATTCGAACGAATCCGGATGAAATGAACTCCAACCCAAACACACACAATCGTTGAAGGAGAGAGATGGACAAGTGCTAAAGAACAAGAGAGAATTGAGGTGCGTGAGAGAGAGAGAGAGAGAGAGAGAGAAGTTCTGAGAGATGAAAGAGAGAGAAAATGGAAGAAGTTTATTGAGAAAGACAGCAAGAGAGAGCTTTGGAGATAAAAGAGAGAGAATTTGGAAGCCTTAGAAATTTCTAAAAAGAAAGAAAGAGAGGCAATGTAATTTATTTTTCAATCTAATTTTAATTTTTCAAACTTTTAGTAGTTTTAGTATTTCTTGTATTTGTAATTTCTAGTATTTCCTTGTCAATGTAATTTTTATATTTCAATTTTTAATGTAATTAATAATCTTTCTATTTTTTTTTTAATTTGGTAGTGGTATCGAATGGTGGAATAAATTATATTTATATTTTCTTTTCAATTTTTTAAAATTTTTATATTTGTTTAGTTAGGTAGAATGTAAATATTTAAGGCCTATGTGGTTTAGTTTAATTATGATTTGAGTGTGAAATTGCGTTTTGAGTTTTGAGTTTTTGAATTATGATTTGAAAAGAAAAATTTTGTTTGGTTATGAGTTTTGAAAATAGTTTTGGAATAATTTGTAATTAAATTTTTTTTTTGATTGATTGATGTATAGAATGTGAGATAATATGAGAGGAGAGAGGAGCGACGAGAGAGAAAAAATGATTGATTGATTGATTAATAATAATAAAAAAGAAAGAGTAGAGAAGAGTCTTAAAAGTAATTTTGAGTTGTATTTTAAAATTTTATTTGATTATGAGTTTAGATTCAAATCATAATTTAAAAACAGAATTCAGCTTGCTTAGTTCCATTTTTCCAAAAATACTTTTTAGAAAATTCTACTTTTCCGTATTTTTTTTTTGTTTTTACTGAATTTTTTTTAATATTTTAAGCAATTTTTTTACTTTTTAGACTCACCTAACATAAATGCACCTAAAAAGTAAAAAAATTGTAAAAAAAACCTTTTAAAAATTCACTAAATATGAAAATATATATATATATATATATATCTATATAATAAAGCAGAACGGATTTTGAAAATATATAAAATGTATCAGAGATACATTTCGTTTGAACGGCTAAGATGAATCCTATATTTATATTAATGGTTCAGATCAAGCCCTTCTTTTAAATTTATAAATAATATAAAAAGTACAATTATGACATTGACATTTCCAAAAAAATGTACTATCAAAGGGTAATTTTAGAAAATCAACTTTTTAAAAATACAATAATTGTACTACCAAAAAAAGTTAGATTTCCCAAAAGGGACCATTATTTTGGGACGGAGGGAGTAAAATGTATCAGAGATACATTTCGTTTGAACGGCTAAGATGAATCCTATATTTATATTAATGGTTCAGATCAATTATAATTCCCGCCCAAACATTTCTTTCTGAGTTTTCCAACTACCCACGTCCCCCACCTTCCCTCTCTACCACGTCTCCTTCCCATTTCCTTTTATCTCTCTCCCTCTCTGTTCTTCTTGAACAGAACCACCTAAAACACATGTTTCTCTCTCATTTCCCTTCCTTTCCATCCCATTCTTCTCTGTAATTTCCCATCTCTCTCTCCATCTAAAATGGGTAGTTCTTTGAGCAAGAAAACCATCATTTGTTCCTCTCCAAATGCACTTCCAGACCCACTTCCAAATCAAACCAAGACCCACACTAACCCCCAATTAACAGACACGAAAAAGCCAGAAGAAGAGCCTCTGTTGTTTATCGTTGTTGTCTTTGTTGAAATCGATTCGCCGCTGCTCATCATCACCAGTCGCAAGGTTCCCTCTCTCCCACCCTCGGTTGTTCCTTTCACAAGGTAATTTCGGTCCTCCTCCCTCTCTCTGTTGTATTTTTCAATCCTCTGATTTTGAAATGTTTTTGTTGTTGCTTTAGGGTAGTCGATTTCAACTTTCACCGCTGCTCATCATCACCACTCGCAAGGTTCGATTTCTCTCCTCTGTTATTGAAATGTTTTTTATGTGAACACTAGCTATGATTTCAATAAGCTGCGTAAAATTAGCATAATTGCAGAGCTTCTTCACTCAGATCCGTACGCACTCATCAATGAAGGTGAAAGATCGGGTTTGTAGCCCATCTCCCCACATCTCAAACCTATTGATAGAGGTAAGGGCCTTTCTGCAAAATGCAGCAGGGGCTTTCTCCCTCCCACCTCTGGTTGTCAAATGAAAAGAAAAATAAATTAATAAAAACCCCCAAGGAGAAAAAATAATATGAAGAAGTTACAATCTGAGCTTACCTTTCCACGTTCCAAAAGGTCCGTAGATGTTATGAAAGATGTGTCTCAACTTTTCCAGTGTGATCTCATGTCTCACAGTCGTGGACTTGGATTTGTTACTTTCCCAGCATTTATGCTATAACTAAAATTATGTATCAAAGCATATTCCAATTTTGTAAGAGAGATAGAACACCACTGTAAACATGAGGGTCTTACCTCATCCGTTTCTCATTTGATGAATAATGTTGAATGTTGTGGTTTCTTGCCTCGAGTCTGCCGTGATCCAACGATTTTAATCCCACTGATCCCTCTTAGGGGAGTTTTTTTATTTATTTATTTCGTAGGTTTATTTTTTTTATTTTAATTATTATTATTTAAGGATTGTTTGGGAATGATTAAAATAAATACATTTATTTAGATCATATCATTTCTTTTTATATATAGATTTTTGTAAAAAGTTAAACAAATTTATTATGTTTATTTTAAAATATACAAGATAAATACAATTTTAAAAAAAATTATATATTTTTTATAAAATAAATATGATAAATTTATATCATTATAATTACAAAACTAATTTAATTTTTTTAAAAGTAAAAAAAAGTTTTGGGTATCAACTTTTACCAATCAAACTACACTCCACCCGTATCAACGCCACCACCATTGCCACTAATTAGTATAAATAGTATAATATATACAGCGTATAACATTTTGTGAATTTATATCCAGTGTCGGCCATGGCCTTCCCTGGGCATGGGTCAATAAGGCCATGGCCTAGGACCCCTCAAAAATAGACTCAAAAAATAGGTCTCCTTCTATTATGGTTTAGTATAATATATTAGGTATGTTTTAAGTTAAAAAAAAATTAAAGAAGGCTCAAATTAACTTAAAATAAATTAACCCATTATCAAATTAAAAGATCTATTTAAAAAAATTAACATTGTTATCCATTGAAAATAGACCCAAAAAATGGGTCCTTCCTATTATAATTTATTGTAATATATTAGGTATATTTTAAATCCAAATTAAATGCAAGATGAGATGGTGGACTCATACACAGCTAATTTGTTGTGGAAACAGTTTTCATGTTAACTCCAAATTTGCTATATGGACACCTGGAATATCTTCTCTTTCATACATTTTTGGAGGTTACTAGTTCAGTAATTTTTTTCCCGAATTTTCTTTAGTTTTGCACGGGTGAATCATGGCGGTATCCCAGTGCAAAGGCTTGGCTACTGATGGAAGGAACTACTGGGGTGGTGTAGAGTATTTAGAGAATTCTAATGTAGGATGATGATGATTATAGTTAGTGGTCATTTGTATGGGGTTCCTGAATTCAGTCAGCTTGTGGCATTGTGATTCATGAGAGAGAGAGAGAGAGAGAGAGAGAGAGAGAGAGAAACATCAACCCATTGAGAAAACATATTTTCTTTTCATTTAACCCCTACACACTCTAACTTACATAATCATCCAAGGAAATTGTACAAGAGAGAGCTTAACAAGAGAGGATAATTCAAGTAACACACACATACCTTGAATCTTCAATGCTACAATCCCCCACAAGTTCCCAATTTTTCTTCTTGATGACCTCCTCTTCCTCTCTCACTTTCTCCTCTCAACCAATATTTGAGATGATATACATATATGGTCTAAGTCATGTATATATAAAGGTGAATAAGGACGAAATTCAATCGTTTAATCATTCCAAATTGAAATTTCATAGAAATGCCTATTATTACCTAAAAATTATGCTGATGCCAAATATAAAATCAATTTCTAGTAATTATGCTTCTAAGGCTTCCAATTTCTGGTTTAAACATTAAAATTGTAACAGATAGTTTCCTTAGTAAATAGATATGTACCCAAAACCATAGGATTCACTTAATTAACCTTAATTCCTCATAACACTCCACAGTAAGCATTTGAAAGCATAGAAGAAGGGACTGAGAACATATCGGAATCACATACGAGGGTCGGGTTATTACAGTTTGTATGGTGAATATATGCACATGCATACCAGCTCACACTCATAATTGCATACCAGCAAGTCATGACATAATTTTGTCTTCTCTTTTTCTTTTTCTTTTTTTTCTTTTTTTCCCCCAAATGTATATATACAGATATAAACCAAGCAGTGGTTAGTAATGGAAGAAAGGGGGGTATTTAAAGTGAGGGTGAGTGGGGGGACACTTAAATAGAAAGTATGAATTCATAGGTGGATAATCTTGATCCTAACATTATTTATACCGTGCCTTTAGGCACGGGCATTCACTAGTATATATATAAAATAGAAGAATTCAGTAAAAAAAAAAATTGTATTTCTATGTATTTATTAATTTTTTAAAATATTTTTTCACAAATTTTTTTATTATCTAAAAAGGGGGGGGGGCGAATGTTTAAAATTTAAAAAATATTCACTAAAAATAAAAAAACACGAAAACCAAAAAACCCAATTTTTAAAAAACTTAATCCAGAAAACTAAAACAAAACACATTGATTGAGTTTTGAAAATTGAACCAAACGTTACCTTAATTTTTTTTAGAAAATATTTTAAAAGGTTATAAAAAAAAAGAAACAATAAAAAAAATTAGTAAAAATCTATATCCAAATAATACCTATAAAATTAGAGGAAAAGTTTGTTTAGATATGTTAAAAGGACATGTGATCATTGGAGTACCATTACTATAATTTGACAATTTATTACTATTCATTGTCAACTTATAGTAATGACAATACTATTATAGCATTTACCATTAAAAATGCTCTTAGATAGGTCAAATCAATTATCGCAAATTATTTGTCATATTTATAATCGAGCTTAACTTTTCATGGCTCAGGCCTTGTTTGACATGTAACAGTTTTAGTGTAAAAGTCAAAATATTATTAAAGAAATTAAAAAGCTTATAACTTATACAAAAAAGTCAAAAATTTCATTTTCTCTCTAATTTTTACACATATTTTCATAAAAAATCAAAAAAATATTTCAAATATATTAATTTTTTTATCTCATATTTTAATCAAAAAGTTAGAAAATTAATAAAAAAAACCATCTCATAAAAAAAAAAACCATCTCATAAATTACGGAGAGCCAATTGAAAGGTTAACCATCAACATTTTATTGAATTTTATAAAAGTTTACATTTATTACCATACAAATCTCGCTACCTCGCCGGTGCAGATGGCGGTGGAGGTAGAGCTTCGAAATTGGTGAATCTGTGAGATTTGAATGTGAGATTCAATGTTTAGAGAGGATTGAGAGAGAGGCGACGTGAGGATAAGGGTTAGAGAGGATTGAGAGGTCTGAAGACCTAAGGGTTTACAAAGGCTTTATTATCAGATTCAAAATAAGCGCGTGTGATGTACCGCATTTGAAGGCGTTTTTTAAACGCCTTTGATCATAAAACGGTGTCGTTTTAATTAAACAAATATGCGACGTTTTTAAAACGTCGTTAAATATTAATAAAAATGACGTTTAAGAAAACGCCGTTAAAAAAACGTCACCAAAACCCTTATTTCTTGTAGTGTCTCTTTTCCAACCCCATCACCGACGGCTACTGTCACTACCTTATCTGCAAGTCCCCTACTCTCGCCATGAATATCGATTTCCTTTGACTCATTTTGCTCCTCGAAGACCCAAATCATAGCAAGGAAAACAATGAAGTTCTTATGCGATCAGTGATTTTAAAGAATCTAATTGGGTTTAGTTTGAAACAGTGCCGAATTCGTAAGATTTATGGCTATGGTGTAATTCCTTCTTACTGGTAAAGCACCATTACTCAAACATAAAGGTTTATTACCTCTATCAACCGCAAACACAGATATGGACACTGATACCAAACTTGAGACATGGTGATTTTAAAAAAAATAGGAACAGGAAAATGGACAAAAAAACAAAAATACAGACACGAACACGGTGAAGGACATGACAATTTTTTTAAATATATATATATACATATTTTTTTGCAATGTAAAGTTTCCACACAATCAAAATTAATAAAACTAATATTAATTCAACGTATATTTAAAAGTCACTATATTTAAATAAATAAGTAGAAAAAGAAAAAAGAAATTGATTTAAAGAAAAATATATCATATATTTATTATAAATAATATACAATAGTATTTCCATATTTATTATATATTTATAATAGATAGACAAATGATATATAATAGTATATTTATTATATACGTATTATGAGCAAGGATCCTCTAGAGTGATTTTTTCCTAAAGTTTCCTAGAGTGCTACATTGTGTGGTTGAGATTTACTGGCAAGTCACATCAATTTTTCTGATGTGACTTGCCAGTAAATCTCAACCACACAATATAGCACTCTAGGAAACTTTAGGGAAATTTTACTCTAGAGGATCATTGGTGACGTATTATGGGCATTATGGATAGATAGATGATAGAAACAAGAGAGAGTGCGACGAGAGACGGGAGAGACTTACCAGACCAGACTGTAGATAGAGTTCGATGGGGATGGAGCTTAACGGAGAGATCGATAGAATGCCATCCTCAAACAGGTTCTTCGTTTCTCTCTCTCTCTCTCTCTCTCTCTATATATATATATATATATCTACATATACACATATCTTTTTCCTTCTGATTTTAGATTAGGTCTCTTCTTCTCTTTCTTCGAATTAGGGATTCTATTTAGGGCTTTCTGTGTCCCCTTCACGTCCTGTTGTGTCCTATACCACAAAAAAAAAAAAAACAAAACAAAACAAAAAAAGAAAAAAAGAAAAAAAAACAACAACAAATGGGACATGCCTATACCATATATATCTGTGGTGTATCTTCTTATTCCTGCGTTCGACACCGCTATGACATCCATGCTTCATAGTGATGTTGGTAGTGGCTGATTTCTAGTAGTGATGCTTATGGTTTTTGTTAGAAAAAATTTAGAAGTGAATGAAAATGGACTCCATTTGAATGAACCGATGCAACCTTTCATGGTATCTTTTATATGAAAGGGTGTGACCTTAAGAGTCATGAACCTTATGAATGGTCATAAATACTTCTATAAATACCATCCCCATGGCATTTATTTTGGATAAGGAGTTTTAAGATTCAAACATTATGTCTAGTCAAGTATAAAGAGATAGTGCATAGTACATGTTAGTATATTATACACATAAAATGTTGTGCAATTTATGTATGTGGTAATCGTTGTATCCTAGAGGCAGGAGTCCACCAATCACAAGTACCAGAGGCAATGGCGAATTTTTGTCTTAAAGGCATAGTGTTCAAACACTGACCCCAATCACAATCTATTCTAAGTTCAAATACCATCCCCGTGGCATTTATTTTGGATAAGGAGTTTTAAGATTCAAATATTATGTCTAGTCAAGTATAAAGAGATAGTGCATAGTACAAATTGATTCGTTATACACATAAAATGTTGTGCAATTTATGTATGTGGTAATCGTTGTATCCTAGAGGCAGGAGTCCACCAATCACAAGTACCAGAGGCAATGGCGAATTTTTGTCTTAAAGGCATAGTGTTCAAACACTGACCCCAATCACAATCTATTCTAAGTTCTATAGAATTTCTGTAAGAAATTTTGTGTGTTTTATTTTATTATTTATTTGCATTAAATTGATTTTTCAAAAATATTATCCTACAACTTTAAGACATAAATTCTTTATTTGCTTTACAATTTTTGTTTGTAATTTTGTAATACAAATTTATTATTATTTTTTGGTTAAATTATTTTTTTGCAAATTAATTTTTCTACACAATTTGTTTCATGCTTACTGTAAAAACTTCAACATTGTTTTGTTGCTTCTATTTTTTTGGTAATAGTAGAAACAATAAGCATTATTGACTTTTACCTGAAATTGTGTTTAAGTGAGATTTTGTTACTTCTCTATTTTTTCCCGTACACAAGTTTTGTTACAGATTATTTGTTATTGATCTTCTGTGTTTGGATATTTAATTTATGGTTGAGTCAAATTTAATTTATTGTTAGTACAGTATTATTTTGTTATCTACGAGTTCGAGTATCAGAAACTATTTAGAGTATCAGAAATTGTGTAGATAGAAAAGATTCAGAATTTCGTATTCTTGTACAATAGTAGAATACGTTTCTGATTTGGCGTGTAAGGACAGATTTTACAAATTTGTTTTGTGATTTATACAAGCAGTATATTTTCATTTATGTTCTTATCTTGTGTAGTTTTTCCTTTCTGTGCATGTTCTTCATATATATCTGAGTATAATTTATTTTTTTTTTTTTTATATATATTTTGTATACAGAATTGGTATATGTCATAACAAATTGAAAGTAAGCTTATGTTTGTTGTTAATGTTAAAATGTATACATGTGATTAATATTTGTCAAACGATTTGAGTTTTGAAATCGTTTTCTGAAATTTGTTGAATTGGCTT